TGGGTGTCGTAAACAGTGGCGTTCGTGCATCTCCTCAATTTCTTTGCAACCTTAGACCACAGAACTTCTCCATTTTCTTTTCGACTCCACTTTCAACTTCCCATTCTTCTCCTATTCTTCATCCCAATGGGCAGCCAAAAGACAGCAACCAAAACCGGCGCTCGAATGTGCGAGATAATGATTGTTCAAACTGAAACTTGTTGTCATTTCTTATCGGGTCAGAATACTTGAAACGGTACGTATGCAGAGTTCGATTGCGTACTCTGTGTGTTGACCATAGTGGCTCATCTTCTCCCTCCCTCAAAATCGATCCAACCCCTGTGCACCTTTAATTTTACCACTAACCTTGTATGTATTTTGAGTTTGGCAGCGGTTAGGGAAGTTTGCTGCACTGTATTTCGCTGTAGGATGATGATGACGATGAGTGAGATTCCGAGACTGTTGTAAAGTCAACAGACAGTTCAAACGAACGTTTCTTATTCGTGGTCTCTGCATAGGCCCAGACTAGCCCGGATACAGTCAGAGATGACTTCCATCACAACTTACATGAACTTCTCCAAGTACCTAACATGGATGTCGTGATTCTGACCAGAAGTCTAAACTCGTTCTGACTTCTGTCGTCTACCGAGACTCATCTTAGTGTCTACCAGGGCCGTGTTAACTGTCGTTCAGGTAATAGTAATGGACTTCTTAGCGTATACTCTGAACATAGTCTGTTCGTCGTTAGCACGAACTTCACACACAAAGCGTCACCTCATCATCATCATCGTACAGCGTAATACCGTAAAGAGAACTTCATTGATCGCTGCCAAACTCACAATGCATACAAGGAAAGTGATAATGTGTAAGGAAGGCAGGGATTGAACTTAATTTTAGAGACGGGAAAATAAAGCGAATCTCTATAATTAACCTGCAGTACACAATCCAAATGTGCACACATACTATTTCAAGCATTTTGGTCTGATAAGAAGTGATAGCATGATCGCCATTGCTGTTGTTTCGGAGCCATGACCTTCAGTGTCTCCAACCATGCGGTTTCGAAGTCTTTAGAACTCCAACTCGGAAGACGAGAGACACCCAATCTACCTAATCGCTCTGTGCATTTCTTCATGCCTCGTCTCCACGTTATCTGCTGGCTTCCACGTGGCTTTCTCCAGGCTGTAACAGTCAGTACAAATAAGGTGCGATGCGGTAGGCGACCGCTGGACGCAAATCGTGTTTTAACCAACGGAGCCCACTGAGCTAAATTCGATGCAATTGCGAGGGCACTTTCTATCCATTCCCAAACACCCGACGACTTACTTCTGGGCTACTAACCCACACACTCCATCCCAATTGGGCCAGACTGCGTAAGCATCGATTGTGGAAAATCACTAGGCAACTGATGTCTTCGACTCGCAAATTCAAGGTCTCAACCGTAAAGCAGAACTGATCGGACAGCAGTGCACTATATTCGATTTTTCATTGTCTTGATGCACTTCCTCCCGTTTATGGTGTATATGATACTCCTACACTGAGGAAGAACATTTGACTAGCTTAGTATATCAGTAGTTGGTGTTTATCGACATTGTACTTCGAACGTAGATATCCGTATTAGCTCGTTTTCGCCAATTTTTGTCGTGCATAAACAGGCGGCTGATGGAACTGGATCAAGGTTTGTCAAACTGAAAACCTTGTCGAATCTTACATAACTATCTCGCACTAACGGGTGCAAGGGTTAACTGATGGGTTTTCGTTTTTTATTGCACATATTTGTGTGATGGGCGGCAGACGGAGCAGATTCCATAGTCATGATGAACTGCTGTTCAGTGATGGAAGCCGATAACCTAACCCCCCGGACTTCGAGTGATGAACTACATATGAACCCGCTAGGTGAGGTGGGGTACTGAACCGGACGACAGAAAATCTGCGTACCACGAAAGTTGGGTGGCGGTGCGGGTCTCGAACTTCAGACCGTAGAGTCCAAAGCACGCCAGTAGCAGCGACTAAACCACTGCGCCACCACCACAACCCCTGTAAGTGGGTTCCACTTACTGCTTAGTGCTCGACCGATCCACATACCCCTATGAAAAATCCACACCAATCGGATGATGAGCAGGGAATGACACGTGGCTACCCGTCAGTCTGTAGTTGGTTGTACAGCGTCTAGAAGTACACTCTTTGAAGAGAAACCGAGTAACGCTGGATACTTTTTCCATTCCAGACTCCCACGAAACTTCATTATATTCATGAAATCGTCTTCCTCTATCCAAGCAGACAATCAAGAGAAAGCGAAGTAAATAGTGCTCGAATAAAAAAAACGTAGGCTCTGCGGCTGATTGTTTAGGACTGAATTTCTTGCTACCTGTACTTTTTGATTTATTTAGTATGTTTTATATCTTTGACCGGTTCCAACTTGTAAAATTCAGCGTTACGAGGGTGTGTTGTCCAACATTCTATATCAGTACTATCTTTTCAATCTGGCTGACTGTCTATTATTACGAACCCAGGTGTGATGAGTAGCTGGCGGGGGGGGGGACCCCATAGTCAAGACAACCTACTGTTCAGTGGTAGAAACCGATAACCCAAGTCCCGGGACTTGAAATATGGTGAACCACGTATGACCCCGCTAAGTCAATTCTTGACATCTAAATTAATATGTTGATGGAATTTCGACTTCAAGTGCACTTTGGCTTCACGCTACCGCTGCGATCACATTAATGAACGTAAAAGTTGCTATTTCGATCGATCATCACTGGTCATTGGAATCACCGGAATCAACTTCTCTGCGGAGTGTCTTGTTAGATTTACACTTGCTTTGTCTATGCCTGTCTATCTATCTGTCTTATTTCTGTTCTGCAGATCATGGCATGTATCAATGCCCTAGCATTTTCTGTTGCCCATCGTGACTTCCCAGAAGAGGTAAGTTTTCCGCTCTATCCGTCCACCTTCAAATTCTACACTGATTCGCAGGAGGTTTTGGTTCGTGAGTTATCCAAGGTCAAAGAACACATTTCCAATGGATTGTCATATTTCACTGTGAAAAGGTAAGAGAACAAATAAAATTACCATCGTGTTGCATGCAGTTCAGATTCCAACAAACCGGCACTCAAAGATCAAGTTCAGCGCTTCTTGACCAAATTGTCCACATTTCTAGTAGGTCATTTATATGAGCTCCAGTCATTCTCGATTGTAGAATCTGTCGGAAGAACGTTGTTTTGATTTGCTTGTGCACTACATCGCCGCTCGGGACACTGATGGTCCGTTCGATGAAGATCAAGTTCAGGTTGGTTTTGTTTGTTTCCAATGGGTATCACTCACCTGGTTGTAGAATTTTATTACCGACGGTCATGTGAGCGATCTGTTGAATCGCATTCGTATTTTCTACTGGCAAGAACGACTCAGTCTTCTCGGTCTGTTCCGGGTGATGATGTGCGATTGGCACGAGTCATGGGTCACACTAGCCGACGTCCTGTTCGCGATGACCTCGTTCCGGTCCCGCACCGAGTTCCTTGAGCATATGCTGCACGAGTACACCCAAGCGGCCTGTGCGACCGAATCTTTACTGACCGATGGACGTTATGGATTTATGGTCTGTTGTTTGTTTTTCATTCACACTAAAATCTTACTGGTTCAGAGACTGACCCAACCTACAGTACTAGTCGATTTCGAATCACAAGATGAATTTGATTTGGCCGTTGCGCAACGTTTGAAAGAACAACTGGAAATGTTGCATATCATTTTCACCGGAGTCCACGCTCTGTCCGATGCCGATGCGCCACCCGCATCGTGTTTCTTCTCCAAATTGCTGGACGCATTCTGGGTAGGTTATCTCTCGTTTATTCCATTTAGCTTCCATACCACCTAGTCGAAGTCGTTTGGTTTGCAACCTAGCCACGTGCAACCGTTGGCCAAACATCGTCATTTGGCGGATCAGATTTGGTAAGTCCCAGGAACCACCGTGCTAGGTGTTGTTGTGTATCGGTTGCATCAACTCTGTCGTGCTAATTGCCCATCTATTTCTTTTTTCTATAGTTTAACACAAACGTTAATTCTGATTCGTGCCGCCAACCTGGATAATCTGACGTTATTCAAAAATGTGTGAGTTTTTTCTCCTGGTTAAACACTTATAACCTTATCATATCTCTATTGCTAGTAATGAAGAGTCACTTGTTCTACTGTGCCGCAGAATAAGAGTACGTTTGAGACAGTTCTGTATCTCTAATCTCCACTACTTACTGTAACTTGTTCACATCCTGTAATTCCCGGGAGGAGGACTTCCAAAACTCCACTATCCTGTAGTTTAACACCAATTGTTTTAAAACTATTCAACCCTCAGTGGAGAATTTACCTTGAGAAAGTCTAGCCCCGCTCCGATGGTAACCGAAACGTCGACTTATTGTCGCCTCTGTTGGAACCGGTCTGTTACTGAAAAATACACGACTTCCCACAGATCCTCCAATGCGGTCAATAATGACATAAATACTAATCATTACCACCCTAGTTACCTGTTGTGAGCAGCAGCAGCTTGTGCCCGATTATTTCCATCCTCGTATATTGTCGTGAACAGTATGAAGTTCTTCAGTCCTGGAGGACTCATTAGGGAAGGACTTGAAATTCGAGTGAAAAATACGATAGGATGTCGATGGCGCAGTGATTTGGTCACTGTCACCGGCGTGCTTTGGACCATATGGTTCGAGGTACGAGCCCCGCCTCCGCGATCTAAATTTGGTGCTAGACAGCTTTGTTCTCGCCCGATTCTATACCACGTCTGACCCAGCGGGGCCTTATATGGTTCACCACTCTGGGCTTAGGTTACCGGTTTTCCTCACTGAACAACAAAGCATCATGACTATGGGGTTTACCTCGGCTGCTGTTTTCCACACAGTGGTGTGTAATGAAAAACGTCAGTGATTTTTACTTCATTCAATCATTGGATCATGTGGATGAGGATGGTAATGATCGTGTACCTAAAAACAAGCTAACGGTTTACTCATTTCTTTTCTGAATGAAACCACTCGTGTTTGAATTGCGAAAAGCGCATCAGCCTCGATGGGATTCGACCCCACGTGTATGTGTGTGTATGTATGTATGTGTGTACACGTAACGGCGTGCGCTCTACCAGCTGTACTATGATACCTCATCGTGATCTGTTTTGAATAGTGCTACTCGGCATTTTTGTTCAATCCTTTTGTGGATTTACTTGATATATGCCTACAATATGTATTGGACAACTTATTCGGTCAAGATTTCAACCATGTTGAAATTTCAGCTCCACCAAACCGGGCCCCGAGTCGATGTCTGGTCCTCGCGCTGCCAAAAGGTCAACAAAACGTTCCAATCAGGATGCATCAATCAATCACGAAAGTACCGGTGGTCACTTTTTGTACAATGCCCATCTGCTGAATCGTCTGTTGGCCAGTTTGTCTGCACTGGGTGACAGTCCGGTGCACGGACCGTTGTTGTTGTTCGGGGCAATTTGTGCGACCGCGTTTGCCCCGTCCGTCGCACCGGACTCACCACCGCATCGTTTGGATGCCGGGGATCTAACCCCGGGTGACTGGGGTCCGGTTGTGGACGAACGCAAACCGTGGGGAGGCGGAAATCCCGGTCGGGATGGCGGTGTCGAGGTGAGCGAAACTGCCCATTTGGTCGCGGAACAGTATGCACACATGGCAATTCAGACCCTGGGTGTTTTCGGATTTCTCACGGACCAGCTGACTGATTTGGGGAAACCTATCCAGAATGTACGTTCTGTCCTACTCTCCGTCAATTGTTTTATTTTCGTCATTACAATGGTCTTTTATTAAATTTACATCTACGCCTTGTGAATGCACTCGAACATTTGCGTGCCTCTTCTCTAATGGTTGCACAAACTGAATATAATATGTTTATTATCTCATTCGTGTGACATCATGTGGTGACTCATTTTCATTCCTCCTGCCCCCTCACGCTAATTTGCGATTAGCGTCCGGGAGCGGGGTTGAGTCTAAATCTACAAGAGTCTCCTCTGATTCAACCGGGAACCGATTTGAACGTGATCGATTTCTGCGCACACGTGGCCGTATTTGATCTACTCTGTCTACTCGCCCAACATGTGGTACTCTGGACTTTGGACAGTCCGACCTCTGCGGCCGCGAATTCGATCCGGTCGGAACAATCGTCCAACCGAATCGCTTGTATTCGACTTTTTGCGCATACCCTGTATGTGGTCGCACAGCATGTACATTTGATCACACGTGCCCAGGATGCTTCAGACGCGCCCTCGTCAGGTATTGGGCTCCGGATAGCCGGATTGATCGAATCGCTCGCAGAAGGTGAGTGAGTGTTTCCTGGCGTGAAAAACAAACGGTGATAAGACTATAATGAGAAAGTCGTTCCAATTTGACGCAATAGCACAAAGTTAGGTAAATGCGCAATCTCATTTAGTGTCAAGCGCTTGATCATAGGTTTCCGGTCTCTGTATTTGGCGTGGTTCGCTACTCTAGGTTCCGATGTTTCTAGGTATCCTTTAATGTTTGCATACTGCTTTCAGTGTACCGTATCCAACAGCGTAGCATACAACAACTTCTGTTGTGAGATACTACTCACGGTTGCAAGTAGTACGCGAAATAATGCGGATGGTAGTTTTTTTCAACGATCAAAATGAGCTAGACCACTTAGAGCGAATAGCTGTGTTCCAAATAATGACTACGGAGTGTTCCATTCATTACCCCATATGCTGCCGGGAATTGGAATGACATGTTCAAAATTAAATATTTTGCTATATGTATGCGAAATATACCTATTCCTAACTGTTATCTACAATAAACAACTATCCTCGACCAGACACCGCCGTGTGGAATTTATAATACTACGGTACAATAATCTTTATAAAAAGGAAAACGTTCCACGATTTGCATGTGGGCTGAATACTGCCAGGTTGCCGAGGCCAAGGCAGGTGAATTTTCTTGGGGAATCCACAACCGGAGCCTTCGGCTAACTAAAGCCTGACTAGCAAGGTAGCGGGGCGGTGTGTGAAAACCGCAGTCCATTGGGAGCTGGTGTCCAGTTGGATGGTGTGTGTGAGAGCGCTGACCTCTTGCGTGCACCTTGTTTGGGTGTAAAGCACAAACAAAGCTCCCATCGCTTCCACAGTAGCTAGAGTACAAAAACAATTATTTTAATGGATGAATTGGTGGTATATTGGATAAGACAATTCTGAGAGTAGCGCGTTCTATGACATCATTTTGTGCAACTATCTGCTGTGGGATATTTATCTATGGGCCCGGATCAGATCTAGACTCAGTTACTGTTTCATTTCCGTACTTTATAGACCCAACATGATGGGTAGCGCTAATCCACGTTTTAACCTGTCCACGTAGACAACAGCAACAAAAGCAACCAGAACAGGCCATTTGTTTAGTTAGTTCCGTCGAATGTGGCCAAACCAATGTAATCGGCAGGTCGAGAGGCGGACGAGTATTTGGTTCATGGTGGTGCATCGTCTCCCGACTTCTTCATCACACACCGTCATGACACTGTATTTGGCAGATTGGACGCAAGGACAAGTGTTTAAGAACTTATTACACATCGGTGTGTGATAGACAGCAGGCAGGATGAAAAACCATAGTCACGAAGACCTGTTCAATGATGGAAACCGGCAACTTAAGTCCCGAGACTGGGAGTGGCGAAACAGAAAATTACCAGTATCTTTCGGTTGTCCTAGAGATAGCACTTCACCGGACATGGAATAGTGCGTTTCCTCGAAGCAAATAAATCAACTTTTTTTAAATTTTTTTATTACACATCCAGGTGTGATAAACAGCAGACGGGGTAAATCCCATAGCCACGAGGACCTGCTGTTCAGTGGTTGAAATCGGCAACCTAAGCCCCGGGACTTGGAGTGGCGAACCACATAAGGCCCCGATAGGTTAGGCGTGGTGTTGAACCGGACGACAGCAGAGCTGTCTACCACCAAAGTCGGGTGGCGGGGCTCGAACCTCGGACCACAGGGNAAGCACGCCGGTGATAGCGACTAAACCGCTGCGCCACCACCACTGATACTGGGGATACTACTGGGTATCGTATTACCTAGAAATCGGCTCATCCTTCCGAGGGAGAAAGTAATCTAGGTGAAATGGATGTCTACTGTCCAGGTGCTGATAGTGCGACGCTTTCGGATTAGTGACTGCTGACTTATGCTTCTCCAAGACTTGTGCATCGAGATGTGTTCACGTTTATTTTTACTTGTGATACTGAACAAAACGTTGAAATTGAGGGCGATGATTATTATTATAACTATGCTTTTTCGCACATATTCACTGTGATCAAAATAGATGTGACAAAATCAAATTGCAGTCGATTCGTATCTCAGAGTTAATCTGTGTTATTGCCAGCTGTTTCCATAAGTCATTTTGCCACGTTTAGTTCTACTTTTCACCCGATCGTGTTCCGTGTGACTTAACCTCTATTTATTTCGTTTTCTTTTATTTTCTCGGTACTACGTGCTTTCCACGCAGGATTCCCGTGTGATCTGAGTCTAGTCCATCTGTGCACAGCCCTCATGGTCCCTGCCCCGAGTCGCGGTTCACAAACGGATAATGGGGGAGCTGAAGAAAGTGATTCTTTGGTTCACCTGGTCTCCGAGTTGATCACCGCATTGCCTTACCTGACCGAACCGTTCACTCCGGAATTACAACGTGTGGTCCAACAATCCTCTGCCTCACTTTATCCACAATTCGGTCGAGGGGATCAGTTTGCGTCCAACAATGATGTCTATCTCACTCAGACGCGAACGGTGCTCAGTGTCGATTGGCGACAGCGATCCGGATCGATATCCGATCGTAATCGTTATGCCACTCCATCTGCGTTGTATGCGGGAATCCGGTTGATGACCGGCACTGTAGGCAAAGTGGAAACTGGTAAGATAGTTTTACGACCCAGTTCTGCCGATCATCCGTACAATTATTTGACGTTATTACCTCACGTCCTATGCTTGAGAAACGTCGTTACTGTCCAAATAAGATCTCCAAGCGTATGATAATGTGCTTGCGAAAATCCAAAACGTCAATTGTATGGGGAATTTTTAATCGGTACACATGTTAAGATGATGAACAAACATCTTTTGTTGTTGCTTCCTTTCCGGACGGATATTGACCCCTACAACTGTATCGCAAATAAACAACTATTAACGGGGATCCACTCAACCAGAGAGACTTCGGCCCCATTAATGAGTACAGTACCTATCCCGCTCTGACCTACGGAACGGGTTCGATTGTCACCTTATGTGCGAAGGACGGACCTTGAGGACAAGTTCGGTGAACTCAGCGGCTTATGGAAGTAGAATCCGGAATTCGAATCTCCAATGCGCAGCACACATCAATTACTTGTACCCACCAGACACGCTTGTTGACCCACAGAGTCATCAGTCCTCCATTTGGGACCCCCTAGAGACAATGTTTGACGACGCTTCACAATCTGCATTGTATTTTGTGCTAAATTACGAGCTTTATCGAGTGACGAACAATTTGTCTGATGGAATGTTACGGGTTGAGAGGTGTATACGAAGAGCAGGGGGGCTGATGTGTGTGTGTGAAATAAAATGATAATATGATAGCAGTGACCGTCGCCACCGTTTTATCCCCCATGGATGGGGTGTCCATCCTCAGTTCACTTTCAGTGTTTGTAACCATGCGCTTTATTGCTCCAGTTTCGGTTACTCCTACCTCATGACGGACTGCCCATTTAGATAAAGGAGTGAAGGGAAGTTTGCAATGTTTAAATCAGTGTGAGTGAAAACAGAGAATTCATTCGTTCGCACGAGCGCCACTGTTTAGGACCTTCAGCCACATCACTCAGTACCACTAACCTTTGGTTACAATGATCCTGATGTTCCCATCCAGGAAGCCTAACGTGGTCTATGTGAGCAAATCTCTTGATCGGGGTTTCATACCCTCATGCCAGGTCTGTTTGGCCACCACCTTTTACATTTTCCACTCATCAACGGCCTCGGCAAATAGTAAGCACCATGGCAGCCTATTGGGGGCCATACGCAACACATTCTAACCAATGGAATCTGTTGAGATTGACCTGTGGACGACTCTGATTACCCAAAACTCTACCTCTAACTCAGTCTTACTCGTCCAGTTTCCCCACCAGGCTCGTGCAATACGTTGTAGGCATTGGTGTTCGAATACTGACGGTCTATCCTTATCCTGTTTTCATTATGGCCGATTTTCTGCGATGGATAGCTGAACTGTCCGAACTGCTGCAGCATACACTCCACCCTTCACAGACAACCAGATGTCCCGACGACGCAGCTAATGTCTCAAGTTTGAAAATGCCAACTGAGCCTTCTGCATGCGTGCCGACACTTCATCTGTGATGCGCCCGCCGAGTGAGATACAGCTGCGCAGATGGCAAACTTTGTTCACTACCTGTTTTACTTCTCCAGCTATAGAAATAATAAATTGCACTTCCGTCGAATGGTCCCTTTCTCCATTGTCTGCGTAACAATCGGGTTTAACTCTTGCCGTCCTCTATGAACTAATTCTTTTGAAGTGTTGTGTTCACTTACTCATGAGTAGTTGAAGTCAATTTTTAGAATCTGTCATTCAGTGCTACCCTTGCAGCGCTTTCTGTATTCCATGCACATAGATCTCGGTTGGATCAGCTGGAAACAAGAATATCCGGTTTGGAATGTGATCTCGTTTGAGGTTGAAAAAGCGCTCATTCTTCTAGACCGAATTCGCTCGTGTCTAGGCAGTGGTCAATGCGTGATACCACAGACTACCCCTCCCAGAATCAAAGCGGGACGTATTGTGCGCGAATCGAGCTATCGTACGGACGGAACTTACACGCTTCTTTATACGACTCTGTTTGAGCAGTTAACGAGAGTACAACAACTACTGCAATTTATGACAGCCTGTGTAGCGGTGAGTTTCGTGAAAATGACAACGATCCAGTCACTGACTTCTGTCATTAAACCGAGTTTTTTTTAAAATCCGGTCTTTCATTGTCGCTTGCGGCTCGTGATATCTTATGTTTACGGACGTTACACGTGCCTTGAACCCCGAGGTTCAGGTCCTACTACGGCAATACACTATTTTTGTTAAAAGGATCTTGATGTTCTTCAACTGAATGTCATCACCGTTTCCTATTGGGCCTTGTATGGTTCGCTACTCCAAGTCTTAGAGCTGGAGAGTAGAATATCATTGTCACTGTTCAACCCCATGTACTTTTTGTTACATTTCCCTGTGTGCTGAACGGATTTGGATTAGCACTCGGTCTCCAACCTCATCGGATACTATCTCGCTGCATTTACTTTGCTCAGGCCCAGGTGCACATTTCCTCGTGCCTATATCTGCTCGAAGACGTATGGCTACTGATCCAACGTGTACTCAATCTGTCCACCGAATTGACCGAATTGTGGCGCACAAAGACGAACACTGTTCCGACCGCTTCCATTCTGGACTTTCTATATGATCAAATGATCCCAAGCGTGTTACGGCTCCTCGGATACGCTTTCATGGGCATATCAGCTACCGGCACCGCCCAGTTGCTCACCGAGCATGCCAATTTGTGGAATTCAATTCTGTTAACGGAGATGGGCCGATTCTTCCCCCGATTGGTACTGACTCGGACTGGACAGATATCCCAGTAGGTTTCGTGTTGTCTTGATTCTAATTTATTGATGTAATCCAATTATATGAAGATCACGAGCCTCGGTGGGATTCGAACACGCATTGACATCTCCAATGCCCGTATGTTTCTTTACGTTCGATGAGTTATCAGATGTAAATGAATCCGAACGGTAGGTGTAGCTTCGTAGCTCAGCTAGTAGTCCGTACGTG